AGACCAAGAGATTCTGGGAACTTCCAGGCCCACCCACTGACCTAGGGGAAGGGGAAAGGGGGGAGGGGCTACAGATTAAGCTCTACAAAAACAACAGATTTGATGAGCTTCTGGGATGGCTAATACAGCCCTGTACTAGGAAAGTGGTCCACCCTAGTTCCCCCATGGGGACAGAAGCTCCTGTGTGTGGCACTCATCTGGATTCTGCCTGATGTACCTCTTCATCTGGGTGTTCGCCTGTATCTCTTATAATAGCCTTTAAAATAAACCAGTAAATGTAAGGAAATGTTTCTCTGTGTTCTGTGAGCTGCTCTAGCAAATTAATTGAATCGAAGACAGGGTCCAATTTATAGCTTGTTGGCCAAAAGCACAGGTGACAACCCAGACTTGTGCTTGGCAAGTGGAAAGGTGGTGTCTTGGGGGACTTAATCTGTAAGATCTGATGCTATCTCTATGTAGACAGTGTCAGAAGCGAGTTAAATTGTAGGACACCCAGTTGGTATCCCCTGAGAATTGAAAAATTGCTTGGTGTTGTTGGAAAACACTCCAGAATCCCCAAATAACTAACAGCATAATTATTCTATTAAGAGTCCATCAAGAATGAAACTACAGCAATGTTCAAATAATTCTGTGAGTATGCACATTGCATTTTGCCACTTCCTTTTTCTCAATTAAGGTACTGCCTTTCTAAGTTTTTCCCTTCTTATAATAACATTTACACACTAAAAAAACAGTCAATGTAAAGGGACTGTCTTTTTTTCTAACAGGACATGATGTTTCAATTTTTTACACTGCTTTCAGAAATCCTTGTTTTTCTATTCAATTTTACATCATTCTGTACAGCATTTTACTCAGCATATTTATAATACCTTGGACTTGTGATTATGTTTATTACTTGGACTATGTGATTACTTGGAATAGTGATCATTCATACATTTCTCCTCTCTTAGTGCCTTGCCCATAGTAAATGGCCATAAACATTAAACAATTTAGGCAATAAGTTGACTCTCCAAGGCAATCTGTCAGATCAGCAGGGGTCTGCCTAACAAGAATTAATGACAAAAGTGCCAGGTCAGGACAGAATCTGTTGTGGGAGTCTAAATATACAAACAGACAATAGCCAGGCCATACATAATCATAGAACTTTCAGCCCAACCTGCAGCAACCTGCTCAGGAAACCAACCCCCCTTATCTGTAATAAACTACTTCAGGAGCCAGCCTGTTACAAATTTGACTTGCAGAAAGCCACCTTTTCCTATCTCCAGTGACAATGAAGGAAAACAAACAAAAACTTCTGTAACAGTTGGCCCAAAATGGCCAAGACTTGGCTGATTAACTGACAGCTTCCCTAATCTTGGTGCCTACCTCCAATTTAGGACCAGTCAGACAAATCTGCACCCCTAACCAATCATATAGAAAGTCATGCTTCTAGTCACCCCCGCCCCTTGCACATGCCCAGGTCAACAAGGTACACCTAAAGCCTTTCCTTTATTCTACTATAAGGCCTTCCCACTTCTCTGTGTAACAAAAGGCTGACTCCTACAGCAAGTTTGGAATAAACAGCCTTTGCTTTTCGCTTTTGGTTGGTCTTTATTTCCACAGTTGTATAATAAAAATCCATTGGAATTGTCTATCCTAGTTAAAGATGAAATAATAATTCATATAAGCTAGGAACTGAAGGAGCTAGGAGTGGCCAAAGGAGAGCTTTGTCACAGACTGAAGAGTTTACAAGCTGCACCTGACAAAAGGCTTTAATTATCCAGCTGAAAGACAATTGATATCTATAGCTGAGGGAACAGCTGCCCTGTTAGGTGTCCTTGGGGTCAGTTCAGGAGAGTGTCCAACACCACTTGGGTGACAGTCACCACTTGCAGCTGCATTACACAACACCTCCTCCCTCTGCTCACCTCCCTCCATTAGCCATTTATTAAAATCACTCTAAATGACAGAGTTTCGAACATTAAGTTCTCACAAGTCCATCAGAAGTCTCATTCTGACAGCTCAGCCACTCAATTATGGTTGAATAACTTTGAACATTAACAAGTTCAGTGTCTCCTCGCTCTTCCTAAGTATGCTCACAATAAGCAATGTGCAATTCTGTGTAAACTTTAAACCCTGCAGCTTCTGTGAAGTTATGGACTAGTTCAGTGTGGTTAGCTTGAGATGACATCACTGAAAATACTACAGAGAGGAATATCATAGCTGAAAGTGATTGGCATGGTTCATGAATAAAGTATCTAAATTTTGTATTGACTACAAAATAAATACATAGTTATTGTAAAAAAGAAAATTCTAGAAAAAGCAAAGTAGCAAAAAGAAACTTAAAATCATTCATAATGGCACCATTCCGAGAAATGAATGTTCCCACTGACATACCCTTCTAGTCTTCTTTGTGTAAGTCGTGGGGCATGGGGGATTCACTTGAACAGGATGAATCTGGCAGGGTTTTCAACTGAGAATCTTTGCTTGTTTCTCTGAAGTATGGCTTACTGTGAAGCTAACTAATGATCAAGGTATTCTTTTGAGGCACTTTCTGAAGTGTCCGAGGGTAGGGGAAGCATGATACTTGACAGCCGAAACATCTGTACTTCCCTGATTCTGTCAGGACGCTCTGTCCTGAACATGCTGGTCCCTCTGGCTGCAGCAGCCACCTCCAGCCTTGTCCAGCAGAGCATTATTACCCTTCCTTAAATACTCAGCCCTCACCCTGCACCTCTGTCACCCCTTCCCTCGCCCTGGCAGCAGGCCTGCGTGTTCTGCTGCATTTCCACGAGAGCAGCTGGCAGATGGCAGAGTGATCCCAGTGTGATTGGGCTGGTGCAAATCCGTAAACTGGATACTTCAGAAGAGTTAGAAGGATACAACAATAAAGGTTGTACTTATACAACTACCTCCTCTCCGAGGACAAAACAAAGATAGTGTAGACTAGTGGCTGGAGCATGAATAGGAGCTAGACTTGTGTGGGTTAAATTCTGCCTTCACCCCTTACCAGCTGTGACCTTGGGCAAATTTCTTATCCTCTGTATCCCTTGGTTGCTTCATCTTTAAAACAGGTGATAATGATTGTTATCTCACAGAGTTGAAATAAGGATTAAACTAATACATGGTAAGCACTACATAAACGTTTCAGATTACTAAGCTATGCACAAGAACTAACCCAAGTATCTCCATGCTGCTTATCACTCTCACAATCTTCTTTTTAATCTAGCAATGAGGGATTTACTCATATAACTAGCTCTTAGTAGTTTTCTCTGTACTCAGCTGACAAATATTTGGTCTCGAATTCCTCTCTGACTACAGTAGAGCACAGGCATTCAGCATTCACGTGAAACCAAGTTTGGATAATTCTGCCCCACTGTTAATTAAAAAAGCTACTACTAGAGGTTACCTGGACCAACTTGCTCTCCCCACGTGGAAAACATTCATTACCCATAACATGTGCACACCTCAGAGTAAAACACTGATGCATTCTGTGCCCCCCACCGCCTCCCCCTCCCCACCACCTTCATCACACCCACAGCATATCCTTCCAAGAGGCAAGCTTTGTTGGAGAGCCAGCCCACTTCAGGGCAAGAGGGGACTCCTGACTGCGCAATATTTTCTCTGAGTCACCTCAGACTAACCAGATGGAACCAGTTCCAAATCTCACAGAAGCAGCTAGGTTTAAAGTTTACACTTAAATTGCAAATTACTTATCAGGAGTCTGCTTCCAAGGAGAGGAGAAATGGAATCCACTGATGTTCAAATTATCCAGCTGGAAACAAATAGCTGAACTAAAATAGGCTAGACAACTTTGACATGGTCCCTAGACTTAAAGACCACCTTTTTTTTTTTTTTTTTTTTTAGAGTATACTGTAAAAGGGCTAAGACTATACTTTCAGGGATCGGTTCTATAGTTCATAAAAGGGCTGACCTAGACATTCCCTGACTCTGAAAGTCTCAGGAAGGCATTTACTTGTTCAAAAAAATCTTAGCTTGTTTCAAAAACATAAAAACCTTTACTCTCTAAACATGCAATGAATCAGGATTTTGATTTCCTAAAATTGAAATAGATAAGGCTCCCAGCCATCCTCAGGTCTCAATCAGTTCAGATGAACAGCAAGTGAATATTTTCTTCCATGAACAAGGACTCAGCCATCAGGGAAAATGGTTCAGATTTGAAACCAACAAAGGGAGCAGCCCTCAGCACAGCTTGAGTTACAGCATCAGCAGCTGGGGCTGAACCTGCTTCACACCTCAGGCTGCCTACTTTAAAACAAAATCAAGTTAGCCTTCCACATATCTTTTCTGTCCTAAACCCTGAAACAAACCAATTTTCACTTAACTCCAGAAGAGATAGCATTTTATGATTCAAAACCAGATAGCCTCATGAGAATTCTCTGTTAAAACAAACAAAAACCCCACCTCTTTAGCTCTGCCTATCCCCCCTGACTTGCTTTTGTGGATTCTTGCTCAATCCATGGAAGTAAAATACTCACATAAAAATATTTTAAACATAAAATAAAATTCTCAGAGTCAGTGGGTAAACTGAAGCTACTGTTGTATAAAGAGCCTTGAAGTAGGTCAAATGCCTAGGTCTCCCATTTTTGTCACTTCCCTATTTGCATGACTGTAGGCAATTCCTTTTTCCCTTCTGAGTATGCTGATCTGCAAAAAAAAAAAAAAAAAAAAAAAAAAGGGATGACACCTCTCAATTCAAAGGATGGGAGAACCTTAGCTCCCAACAGGTGCCTGGAAAGCTGGGGATCCTCCACACGTGTCTGTGCACTGACTTCCCCCAGGAAGTTTGCTGGCTTCTCCGGAGTCCTGAGATAAAGAACGGACTACTCGGGGAACTAAACATTACACTCTCTCCCGCCCACTGCGGTACTCGCCGCTGTTTTGTTCTAATAAATATATTCTCTGTCCTGAGCAATTCTAACCCACAGCTGGACTTTCAAAGACCACAGAAGACAAATAGGCCAGAGCAAGCGAGGTCTAAAGACCTCCCGGCCACTTACAGACAGGGTCATCCATTTTCAAGGGTCTATTCAAGCGGATACTGGCAGGAACGGTCTTCTCGATCAGTTCATCAACGCTCTAAAATTAAAACGCAAGTCGGTGAACATTAAAGGCAGAGGAAAGTGCTTCTGAGTTAAAAGAGACACCTCTGTTTTACATCTACAAAGGCTTGTAGGAATCTCATTTAAATTGTCTAATTAGGATTATTTAAAAAATATTAAACAAACCAAAAATCAGCTGGAGGGGGAAAAAATGAATCGGGGTAGTTATTTGGCTCGGTTGGATTTCGGTCGACAACCGGAGATAATCGGATAAATCAGGAGGTCCTTCTCTGGCAAAGTTAGAACTCATCAGCAGGGCGACTTAGGTTTAAAAAGACACGGTTGTGAGGGGCGAAGGGCGGGTGGAGGCGAAAGTAAGCGGGTGGGAGAAGGCTGGGGCAGGCGGACCGAGAGCGTCGGCTCGCTTCCACACCAGGGCCCCGGACCACGGTGTGAGTCCCACGCGGAGCGAAGCAGGGCTCCTGGCGGGGGCCCGGAGGCCGCGTGGACAGAACCAGGGAGGGACGTGGTGAGGCCCGGGAGGGCAGGGTTGGGGTCCTTACCTCCAGCCCTAGGGCCTGTAGCATCTCCCTCTGGTCTTTGTCCCCGGGGCCGATATGCCTCCGAGCGAAGTCGTCGTGTCTGGGCAGGAGGCGCTCGAGAAGGCGCGAGGCCCCAGCCCCGCCGCTGTCCCCGCTGCCGCTA